TGGCTCCTTTGAGGAGAGTGAATTAGGAACCACCACCTCATTCATTGCAGCACGCCTAGGATCTGAGAAAGAAAGGAAGGAGTTAAGGTGAAATCAGAATGGAATCATCCTCTTCTTTTTTTGGGCAAAGCACAAGAGGACTCAAGCTAGACCCCAACTGGAAACAGCCAACTTTGCCACATCTTTGCTCCTTGGCTTGCAGCGTCTTCCAACCCACGGAGCAGCACTCTAAACCCCAAAGAGGCTCGGATTACCACAGCCTCAGCTTTAGAAGCAAAAACAGTCTTGGCGATCCAGTGGGAAATGCAAAGCTAAATCAGTTAGAAACTGGGCTGTTATGACAAACGTATCCCAGCCTGGAATGAGCAATTGTTTCACTACATTGAGATGGGTAAAACAGAAGCAGACTCTCTGGCTCAACTCAAAAATTGGTGCCTGTAAATTAGGGGTGAGAGAACCGCAAGGCAAAAGGGTCGGCTGGCACCTACTCCTTTTGGGTTTAGGATTTTTGATCCCTCAATGTAAGCCAAAGCAATGATGTCAATGGGATGACTCAGGATGACCAAATGTCCTAACCACAAAGGAGGAAAAGGCACCACAAAATGTAGGAAATTCAAGAAAAAATGTAGGTCATGACAACATAAAAGCTGAAAACCCTCTTAGAAGTGTGAATTCATGCTTCTTAGTCCCGCTCAAAATGGAGAACATTTTGGAATTCCTCCTGGACAGGAGATTGAATTGTAAGACATGCCAGGGAAAAATTGGATGGCTGGCCACCCTGGGATAACTCCCTCATTCTCTACCTGCCTGCTTTCCCTGTTTCACTAATAATTCCTAGGGTTATTCCCCATTCACACTACGAAAATAATCTGGGATGTATCTGGCTGAATACTTGTTATTCACACACATCAATATAATTTTTGGGGCAGGCTGGCAAAACCTCCACTTAACCCGGGATATTTGATACTGTTTTTTTCCCCTCGAAAGATCCACATCAATTAGCATCTTCAACAGTGTGAATAAGTTTCCAAATTGATTTGGATCACTCTATTGTTCAAGGGAATGGAGGCAGCTCTATTTTATCCTGAAATGATGGCATGTGTGAATAATAAAGGGGTTATAATGACTCAAAGCAATTCACAAACCCAAAAGAAAATAGGAACAACAAACATAATATGCATCAGCGCAGTGATTTGCATCTCTTTGGAACATAAAAATGAGTATGAATGCCCCCTTAGTTTAATTCTGTACAAAACACCACCTCCATCATGCCTCTGACACCTTTTCTGTTCAACCATTCAGGGACAGGGGAAGCAGTCTAGGGGTGTTTACATGTAGGGTTGCAGGATCTTGGGGCTTGCCCCTGAGTCTCCAGTTTTCATGGATCATCTCCAAGTGGGAGACAAGGATACAAATTCACCAGATTGCGGGAGATCAACTCTAGGTAAGAGAAAAGGACTCTGTGCAAATCTTCAGCTCAGCTATTAAAACAGTGGCTTGCCACAGTTTGCAATGCTGAATCAATTTGTCACAGTAACTTGCAAAGACTCTCCCAAGGATCTATGTACAGTATTTACTTAGCTAGCTTCCTTCTTCCTTCCCAGTCATTGTAGTGCCAGGACTCACCATCTATTCTGCTCTGCATACACCTTTTGACTAGAAGCAAGTTGGCCTCATTAAATATTCCTTATCCCTAGTCACTAAATAAATGAGAAGGAATAATCCCCTCATGTCATCTTGATCTGACATCTTGATCATAAAGGTTTATCTCTTAATATGCCAACAGAAAAATACATTATCTGTGTGTTTGAATGACATGCTGTGAGTAACTATGGTCAGTACGTAATGCATAACACTTAGGGACATCACCAGGGGTCGTCCCTGGACCTCAGATTTTATCCCAGAAACTTCAGAGCCTGGAACAATGCCAACTAACAGCCCTAGTCGCATGGCACAGCCAAGTGGAGTACTTTTAGCCTTCCAGATAATTTGGACTATATTTCTTGCCCTTCTATATGTTAGCCATGTTGACTGGGGCTTCTGGGAGTGGAGGTCTGAAATAACCAGTGACCCAAGATTCCCCATCTCTGGCTGCCATGCAACCTCAGCAAGGGGTCAGGGCAAGAGTGAAGCAAGGAACTGTCAAAACCACATTGCACTGTGAAGGACCGTTGTCTGAAGCTACTGTCGAAATTGTTTCTTGACTTGCCATGTTCATGAGGGTCTGTCCCTGTGACATTACATGGGCACATGAATGCAGTACACACACACAGTTAGCAAGCTCCTTCATCTTCACACCTTTCCACATGGCTGGGTGTACGTGTCATTTATGCTACTTATTTTGGTGCTATGTATGTCATCACAAACCGTGTCCACTCATGCTGGCGCTTTAATGTTGCATAAATAAATATATTAGGGGATATGTGAATACTTACAGCGCACACCTGTGCCTCAGCTGTTGGTCTTGAAATCTCAGAGAATGGGGAGTTGCTGACTTCATAATCATACTTGTCATTGTAGTTTTTTATTTTTAAACGAAACCTGTAATTCTCTGAAGATACCAGATCCTTTCTGGTCTTGGGATCTAAGCAGGGTCAGGGCTGGTTAGTACTACGATGGGGGAATCCCAAGGAATACTAGGTGTTGTAAACTGTGTTCCAGATGGAAGGAAATTGCAAACTCCATGTGAGTGTTCCTTGCCTACAAAAATGCTATGAAATTCATGAGGTCACCATAAGTTGACAGGTGACTTGAAAATACAACCACACGCCGACTTCTTTGAACCATACTTAGACTGGGTGGCATTTAATGGGCAACTTCTAGGACCCCATGTCAGAGTAGAAATCTGTCCTCTGAAAAGGTAGAACACAAGGCTAATATAGGAACGAGACTGGGAAGAGAAAACAGCAGTGGAAGACTGAAGTTTACATATTGAACAGTAGGAGAGAATGGATAGAGATGAAGATGAAGATGATATCTCATATCCACAGGGATACAAGATGAAGAGCTGCAGAGCTGAAAGGAAAGCCAAAGTGTGGTGAGTTAACATAACCATACCCTTAAGCCATCTTGAGTCCTGAACTTGGAGAAAGATGGGATGCAAATATAACAATAGCCAGCCAATTTTTTTGGTTCCTGGCCTCTGGTGTAGTCCATACAAGAGATACTTGAGAAGGAATTAAAAGCATGTAGAAAAAAATGCTGGAGAAATGGCTTATTGGAGGTGGTGCCACTAAATGTCTCAAAATGATAGAGAACATGCTGTTTTCATTTTTAGTACCTTTAAAGCCACTGACTTTAAAACCTGGATCTATACAAATTTTATTACAACCACGCAAGGAAATGAAGTGTCATGTTATGTTAAAATTCATTTTATGTCTGGTTTTGGCCACAGGGATGCCCAAAGACACAGAAATTAGAAGAAAAAATAAAACAATGAAATACCAACTACAAACAAATTGATTTAAGGGATTAATACATTTATGGGGGGGGGGGAAGAAGTGCAAATGCAGTCGTTGTGGCTTCACTGTACATGTGTAAACCCATTGTAGATCTCCTTGAAACATGCATTTACTCTCTTTTTTCATTTTTAGATACACATTTAAAAATTTTTTGGTTAAAACCATTCACCTCTCAGTCAGCTGTGATTCATAGCCCAAGTATGTAAAACCGACAGACATTCTGGAAATGCTGATGTGAAATGAGATGATATAAGAGATCTGTCTCCAAAAATGGTTGCTTGATCTATCATGTCTCAGCCACATGTAACTTTCACATGTAGCTGCTGCTGCTGCTGTGTGTTAAGTCTTTCTGACTTATGGCAACTCTAAGATAACCCTATCACAGGGTTTTTCTTGGCAAGTTTCTTTGGGGGGTGGGGGGCTTGCCATTGCCATCTTTTGAGGGTGAGAGAATGTGACTTTCTCAAGGTCTCTTATTGGGTTTACATGGCCAAGCTGGGATTTGAACCCTGGCCTCCTGAGTCATAGTCTAACACTGAAACCACTATGCCATCCTCTGACATTTCACAGAGGACACCTGGGATGTGGAGCTAAGCAACATCCGAGTGTGATCAAGAAGGCAAAGTTATTAATGAGAAAAAACAGACAAGCTAGGAGAGCTGAAGCAGTTTGCTTTTGACTGAGCCTAGTGGGAAGAGTATGATTCCTCCCTCTCATCTCGTCTTCCTCCTTGCTGAATTAATTGGTGTCAACTACTTTTGCCATTTTGAATTCATTTTGCCACAAATGTCTGACCAAGGATGAAAGGGGAAAGTGGGAGGAGGAGAGAGAAATGGGACATTTTAAAATCAGTTGAAAAAGTGGAACAACAGAGAGTTATTTGGGGGCTGCCCCTGACAAACTGGGACAGTAGGAGATTCTGTTGTCACTATGAGAGAGACAGTCGTGTAACAGACAGAGGTAAGTGTGACTCTCCAAATGTTGTGAACTAAAACTCCCAGTATTCTTCATCATTGATCTAGACCTGATAGGACTTCCAGCCCAACAACATCTGGACAGATGCACTTTGCTTTCCTTGCCCCTGCCTGAGGACAACACTGGGGAACCTTTTGGTCTTCAGGTGGCTGAGATTCATGTTTTACCCTTGGCTGGGCTGCCCAGGAATTAATCTTTGTTGTTATGTGCCTTCAAATCTTTTTCAATTATGGCAACCCTAAGGTGAACCTATCATGGGGTTTTCTTGGCAAGATTTGCTCAGAGGAGGTTTGCCCTTGCCTTCCCCTGAAGCTGAGAGAGAGTGACTTGTCCAAGGTCACCCAGTGGGTTTTGTGGCCGAGTGGGTATTGGAACCCTGGTCTCCAGAGTCCTAGTCCAACACTCAAACCACTATGCCA